TGCATAGTTAGACAGATATTCTGCAACAGACCAGGTCTCTCTGTGCAGCCTTGGCAAGTCTTAAAATCCTTTGACTTAGGAACCCCAATATACTTGTTTTCACACCGAGCTCCACAGATTCTGCAGTGGGTTCAATTGTGCTTTGGCGTATCTGCTGGGCCTTTTAACCAATCAAATTCACATGCTCAGTCCAGCCTTTCCCAAGCTGAGCTCCCTTCCCAAAAGCCCCTCTTCTGCCCTCTGTCCTGCCTGACTCCCCAATCTCCCATCCCAGCTTGGAATCACAACTTTGTAAGCAGAGGCTGGCCAGTTTGTTGCACAAACTTCCTTCACTGCCACACCCATCCAGCCTCCTGGGAGCCCCAGGTTCATAGCTGCCTTTTCTACCTCCCTTCTTTGCTGGAGCCCCCAGGGAAATTGCCAGCAGGTGATGAATGAGAATGTATCTCACAGTATCTCAGTGTCTTCACCAGGTGAGGGCACATGTGAGGCAGCAGGCAGGTTAGCTTCTGTAGGTGGCTGTTGTCTGTGCAGATTGCCACATCTTTACTGAATACTGCTCGACTCAGGGTTAGGTTCAGTTGAAGAGACAAATGGGCTGTCTGTGGATTGTGGACTGCTTGGGAACTGAACCTCTCTTTATAGCGTTAGTTTTTTTTGTTTTTTGTTTTTTTTTTTTTTCTCTGAGAAAGGATTCCTAAGTTCTAAATAGCTGACTTACTAATGAGCCCTTGTATACCTTGGGGGACTATCTCCTGTGTTTATTCTGTTTTATATGCGATGACTTACCTCCATAAAAGATTTAGCTCCTTCAATGTAGAGACCATTTCTCATACATTTGCTAATAGCACCTCCCTTCCCCCAGCACTGGGCATGGCCCTGAATTCAGACAGCATTTTGCACATAAATTATTTTTTAAAGCTGGCTGGTGTGCCCCCTGTACAGATAATCTAGGAACCTGAGAAGAAGTCTGTGGTGTACGCTGACACTCCTGTTATTGGTGCCTATTTTGAGAGTGTTTTGAGACTTTCCCCATCTACCTCCTTATTTTCTCAAGCCAGAAGTGAAACTGGATGCCATCCATTCCTGTGGTGGGACTGTGTGGTGTGTGGGCTGATCAGCCCAGCAGACACAGGCCTCGCCATCCCAGGGTCAGTAGGAGCAGGAAGATCTGTTTAAACACCAGCCTAGAGCGTCTGAGTGGCGGTCGCTGCAGAGATAACTGTTGGGAAGTGCATCCAGAGTTGGTTTCTTCCCTCTGCGCTGATTTGGCTCTTAGTAATTACCCCTTCTTCTCCTAAACAAGGGAAGGCAGATCCAGTTTCTAACACAACAGCACAAAGACTATCCATTTATGGAGTCAGGCTTATAGTAGCACATGGTGGACAATCAGCCTCCCTGGGGACAGATCTCTTCACAGTATCTTTCGGTGTTTTTTGGAGTGAGTCCAGTAGACTTTGGGAAAATCAGCATTCACTGACCTGAGTGTAACACAACCCCGTTGTGCGACTCCTCCCTTGGCTGGGGGAGGAATCTGGAGTCTGAGCTTGGCGAGCTGCGGTGTCACTGTCGCTCAACGGATGTTCTTACAGCGTCACTTCAGTGTTTCTGTGCTGCCGCTTCTCAGAATGGCCATGTTGTCTGCTTTGTCATGGGGTCATCCTGCTGTGGCTTATAATTGTTGGACTGGCTGTGTGCGCCAGGTTTCTAGGTGGCAGCTCGACAGCATCTTCGTAGTGTCCAGGGCTTTCTCTGCACACGAGCACCAAGTAGTGTCTGTACATTCACTGTGCACTGTGGGAGGAGTGGCTGCATGTCATCACAGGAGACCTCTGCAGCGGCTGCAGTGGGAGGAGTGGCTGCATGTCATCACAGGAGACCTCTGCAGCGGCTGCAGTGGGAGGAGTGGCTGCATGTCATCACAGGAGACCTCTGCAGCAGCTGTGAGCTTGGAGTGCTTGCTGGACTACAGCTTGGATCAGGGTGTGGCTTCAGGTCTTCCTTCGGTCAGCACAGGGTTGACCAAACTAATGTTGTAGTCTCTGGTGAGGTGTTTCCCAAGTGGTGTGCTACTAACACAGCAAGCTTACCCTGTTGCCTCTGGTTGGATGATAGAACACCCCCTCTTCACCTGCATGCTCCTGTATCACCTCAGTGGATGTCAGAAGGAAGTCTCTATACTGGCCTATACAACTGTACGCTCAGAACTCTTGGGAATGCTTGTACTCAGGACAGGGTTTTATGGTCTCATTGGTTGTTTGGAGGGGAAGACTGTGCTTAATGGAGTCAACTCTGAGGTGTAGATTCACATGTGGGCTTAGTAGACTGTCCATTCAGAGGTCCGAATTGAGGCCAGAGGCCTTTGTGTTCTGGAGGGGATGGCACTTTGTTGGGGCAGGCCCTCTGGCTACAGGCAGAATGTGGTAGGGGACTCAGCTGTGAACCAGTAGCATGTAGGCCCCCATCTCTCATCTGGGGAATCTGAGTGACCCACTGCCCCATCACTAAAGGCCACAGCATGAACATTTAGGGTGTGGTCTCCTGACCATGGCCATGCATGTGCCATAACTGCTGGTGCTCTTTGGATGACTGACCTCCTTTCCTTCCTGCCATTTCCTAACCAGTGGTGGGAGCAGGAAGCTCAACCACATAGAAGTGGGGAAAGGACTTAGACTGGTTTGAATTGTCTCTGTTGATTGACATTTTGGAGTCTAGAGGTACTCCTAAGAATGGTGATTTATAAGGAAAGGTTGGCTCTGCAGTGTTGTGTTCTTACAATTTCTCCTTGAAACAGTGGCTCCAGATCTTAAAGACAGCCTCGCACAGTGTGACTCACAGTGCAGTGGCCCTCAGCACTGGTGGTCATAGTAGCTTGCTGGATTTCATCTTTGCTACCCAGGCACCACAACAAAGCCTCCCTGAGTTGTTAGATGCCCTCTAGAGTTGGCTGCTCTTCTGTCTCATCCCCCACTGATTGGATGTGGCCTCACTCTGCATGCCGTTCTCGTACTACTGCAGGTACTGTATCGGCTTCACGTTAAAGGGCAGCAAGTCACCAACAGGCCAGCTAAGAGTGACCTGGAAGTCAGTAGCATGAGAAAATGAAAAGGAGCTGGCATGTCATTGAGGAAAGTGGCACCTAGCCTCTGCATGCTTAGCCCCAGGGCTTGCATTGGCTTCTATGGGAAATTTCTTCATTTGTTCCTTGGGCAGGCACCCTGAGAGGGTTAGAAGAAATCTTAGGTATCTTTTGGCTGATCATTTGGGATCATGGTGCCTCCAGACTCTGCTCATCCCAACTGAGGCTCAGATCAGGGAGGGCAGTGGGAAGTGGGGTCATGCTTTCATGGAGGGACTCTCTTCCATGGTGAGCCTGGGAAACAGGCCAACAAAATAGGCATTTGATGGAAGGCTGTGAATTCTGCCCAGAATAAAAGCAAAGGTGGCATCTCATGTTCATCTCAAGACAGTTTACAGTGTGGCCTACCATAAAGGAGTCCACAGCTCAAACGAGCTCCTCGCCCTGGCTCACCCTGTCTTGCCCAGCCTCACTCAACCATAGCTCTGGTTGTGTGAGCATAAAGGGACCTTTTTCTCTTGTTTCTTTACGTTGTGGGCAGAGTTGCTCCTCTCTGCTTTTGCAGACAAAATAATGTAGAAGAAAAGGCAAGAGGGCATTGGGAGCAGCATTGTGAGTGATAGCTCCTCCATTTGTGTGTGTCTGCCAGGTCCTGACCAGCAGTGATTCCTGCAGGAGGTTGGTGTCTCTGGCTGCATCTGGCCAGGAGTAGTGCTCTTCAGCGGTGAGGGAAGGTGTCATCGTAGGCGAGGTCCTTGCCTGACTTAAGGCCCAGTGACTTTGCTTTGTTTTCTTAGGCAGAGCCCAGTGTCTCCCAATTACCCTTGCAGATGTTTTCCTGTTTTTCTGCATGGCCAGCATCCTTCCACTGACTGAACATTCTGTCCCTCTCTGCCTGCAGAGACCGGTCAGTGCCCTTTCCCCAGAGAGCATTTTTGGCCTGTGTGCTTAGTCTCGCTCTGTTTTTGCCATCAAACACCGTGTTTCCTCCCAGGCTCCAGATTCTCCTTCAGTCCTGAGACTCCTGGATGAACAGTAACATGATTCTTGAACATTCTTTGAGCTTCAGGCCCGGAGGAGTCTGATTGGTGCTCGCGCTCCTCAGTGCAGTGGAGGCTGTCTTCCGAGGCAGCCTCCTCGTGGTGTGGAAAGTTGTAGTGAGCGCAGAATTAGCAACTTGCTTTCAACAGTAAGTCAGTGATGGCAGCCAGAGCTTCTACACATGAATTTCCCAAGCTTAGTCTGTTGGGACAGAGGGCACACTCTGCAACTTGGCCAAAGCCATGACTGGCAGGCGGACCTGTCAGGTCACACTTGGTCTTCCCCATTCTCTCGGATTCCTTTGTGCACTTCTGCCTGAGCCCCTTACCTCACCTCCAACTGCTTACCCCAGGGCAGGCTGGCTTTTGTTGCTGCGCATTAATGAACAACACTTGGAGAAGCAGTTTGTTTGTACTGGCTCGCTCAGGTTCACCAGCATGAGCCCCCAGAGCATTAGGAAACCCTGAGGAGGGGTGGGCTTGGCTCCAGCGGAGCAGCCTCCACCCTGCTCTTTGCCCACGAAAACATGCTAGTGACCTGGTCAGCACTTCTCCAGTGGGGGCCACTGTTCCCACGTGTTGGGGAGGCTTCCTTGGCCTTGGGGAGTGGCGGCCCCTGACCCAGGTGGGCTTTCAGGGCACCTGCCGTCTCACCTTCCTTAGAGTTCTGACAGATACCCGGGCACCCACTCCTGTAGCACCCGTGCTTCTCCTTCTGACCATCATGGGAAATGGTCTCATGGCTTTCATAGTGACCCCACTGCTTCTCTCCCTGAAATGGCCCTGCTCTGGTCACTTACAAGAGTGTCCAGTGATAGACAGGTCTGGAAATGCAAGCTGCACTCAGCCTCACCCTCAACCTCTTCCTTCTGTTTCCACAGAATGAGATGGATGATGTGCCCTTCTTTGACGTCCAGCTGCCTTATGAATTGGCAATCAATATATTTCAGTATCTGAACAGAAGAGAACTGGGTCGGTGTGCTCAGGTAAGTGTTTGCTGCCACATGCCCAAGGGTCCCCAGCTCTGACCAAGTGTGGGGAGCCCCTAGAGCAGTTGATTCTGAAGAATCACAGTTGACAGAACTGATGAATGCATAACAGCTTTATTGAAGGAAGCCTACCTTGAACCAACAGGGTCTTGTTCCACAGTCCCTTTTGATGTATATCTTCTGGTGACTGTCTTCTGTGCTGGCTCTGAATTATGACGGAAGTCCTGGGCTCTGCCTGCAGCAAGCTAGCCTGTGTTAATGCATCACATGTGTTAGTAGAAAGACATAGCCCTTAAATCAGACTAGTCATTAGGGTGGCAGCTAAGGGTCAGCCCAGGGACAGATTGGTGAAGTCATGTTTTAGAAAAATAGTCTAAATTACCCTTTAAATAGCAGAGCCACGCTCCTGAGGCGAGTGAGAAGGGAGACACTGGGGGGATTGCACAGGAGCATTGCCCGTGTCTTGCCGACTCTGGAGCAGAACGGTGGCCAGGCCTTGGTTGCCTGCAGGGATGTTGTGGGAACTCTTTCCCTGGGGAGACATAAACAGATATCTCCCCACTATGTGGGGCAAACACTTACATGATGACAAACAGTTCCGTCACTGTGTTTCCGGGGAACTGCTGCCATAAAGAGCACAGGTGGAGGGAAACCCATCGAGGCGTAATGACCCCAAAGCAGCCGCACCCAGAAAGCCTTACCCCAACATGGCTGTTGCATCCCAGCTGCATAGATGAAGTCACCTCTTCAGTTAACCTCCTATAGTTAATAGTCCAGCTCCCCGAGACTCCCAGTTAAGGCAGAATTGCATATGCATGGCCGGGAGGTACAGGGGGAGCAGGTGTCTCCAGTGAGGATCCAGTAACCATCCCCACCTCACTGTCTCTGATGGAGGTCAGCAGGCTGAGGCCCCTGCACGTGGTCACTGCTGCCCTGATGATGGTGATGGGTGTTAGCTCGGCGAATAGTGCTTTGCAGCAGTCTGAGGTTGGCCATGGTCTATTCCTGACCAGGTATGCTCTAGGGAGGCCAATTACCTTTTTTCCTTTTAGGTTTTTCTTCCAGTTTCTAATAAAATTGAATGAGTGTTCGTGGCCGTGAGTTTGACCTCCAGTGCCACCACCAGAGAAAAGGAAAAAGGCAAACAGACTCGAGTTTAGCTAATGATGTAACTTAGCGGTAGAGTGCTTGATTAGTACACAAGGCCCTGGGTGCTATCACTGCAAACATCAAACCAATTCAATGGAAATCTGTAGATGTGGCAGCATGACCACTGTGTCATTGTGGATACAGTCCTGTATCCAGCGTCCTGTGCACAGTAAAAACTGCACAGACCAGCTGGGACAGGCCCTGGTATTGGGCCTTTTTATGAAGTATGTGCTTCGTCAGTTCCTTGGAGATGCTGAGCGCCTTTGGCGTGTGATTGCTGCAGTGTCTGTCGGCAGTGATGAGATGAGCTGCATGAAGAGCACCTACGTTGTCGTTCCTGCCCCCACCCAGGGGATCTGGGTGCTTGTTTTCTAGCTCACGCCTTGGCTCTGCTCCCAGGAATGGAGGCTGAGGACATAGTTTTCAGCCTGATGCCAGGGTGTGGAGTCCCAGAACTTTCTCAGCCAGCTCTGCCCTGCACAGCCGGCACTATGCGCTCACCTACTTTCTAGGAGTGGGCTGCTCTTGTGGGAACACTGCTTTCACATGAATTTCTGCTCTCTCATTTTGTGGAGAGCCACGCCACTGGCTCTCAAGTGACTACCTTCTGTCTAAAGAGTTAAAGAGTTTATCAGGGCATGATAGGGTTAGGTAGGAGCAGTCCCCTTTGGTACAGAGCGGTTGCATTCAGGAGAGATTGACAGTTGACCTGCTGGACAATTATCCTGTAGGTGTGAGCTATTTAATTTGCAGCATACCAGTCTAGTTCTCACTAGAACTCTAGAACTCTTCCCTTTATGTCCAGTTGGTGTGTGTGTGTGTGTGTGTGTGTGTGTGTGTGAGAGAGAGAGAGAGAGAGAGAGAGAGAGAGAGAGAGAGAGAGAGAGAGCGCAACCTATTTTTTGAAAACACGTGGAAGTGTGGAAACTATTCCCAAGCAGGCCCCTTCAGTGCTCGGTGATGGAGTTGGTTGTGATGGGGAAGCTGAGCTTTCAGAGTCTTACATGAAGACAACAGTGGATGGCCAGCAGTCAGTAGGATTGGCTTCGTTTCTGTCATCATTATCATAAACGACAAAGAATAAATATAAGAGTGTTTTCATTTGTTCCTGTAGTGGTTGTTTCTGCAGCAGGGAGAAAGTCCTGTTGAATGGGCTCCCTCTGCTCTGTCTCTCTCCTGTTCTCTTACTCTCTTATAATCTAGGCATGTTGGGACTTTAGTGAAGTGGGGCCAGTTGTGTGGAATTGGCATCCTGAGCTAGTTTTGTACTCTTGGAGAAACCTGTTGCTTAGGTCTTTATGCCAAGCTGCTCTCTGACTGGCAGGAGACCTGACTAGAGATACCTCAGAGATGTCATTTGCCACTTCCCCAAAGTGCTTCCCTTCAGTTGGTACCCTCTGTACTGATGTGCCCTCCACCCTTGCCAGCAACCAGTCTGTGGGCACTGTGTGGATTGAGTGTCTCTGCTGGGAGGGCTTCATTCAGAATGTCATGAAAATGGCAGGACTTTAGGAAGCTCATTATCAGTCTGACAATGCTAACATTGTGTCCGTCCTTTCCACGCCCACAGGACTCCTAGTGTTTTAAAGGGTAGTAATTGCCGTGCATATTGAGAAGATCGCCAATTTCAAAATTACAAAATTATTTGGTTTCTGTGAGAAAGTTAAGTGCTGCTGTATAGCAACATGAATAATTCTAAAGAGGGATGGTTTCTGGTATTTATCAACTTTCTGTTGTTTTATAGGCTCTTGCTGTGTAATCTAGTCTGTCTCAGGCCTTTAGGCCTGTTTTAGCCTCCTTGGTTCTGGGATTACAGGCATGGGCCACCATGTCCAATTCCAGCATTCTTTTTAGTTCTTAGATTGACGTATTGTTTGTATGAGTATCCTGGCTGTGTGCTCTCACATGCAGTGCTTGGACCGGATGCTTGCTTGCAGAAGTCAGAAGGCATCTGGTCCCCGGGAACTGGAGCCACAGATGGATGTGAGCCATCCTGTGGGCACTGGGAACTGAGACCAGATCCTCTGCAAGAGCCACAAGTGCTCCCAACTGCTGAGCCACCTTTCCAGCCCCTTCTAACATTCATTTTAAACATTTGAAGCTAACTATGAATTCATAGGAAGCTGCAGACATGCATGCAGGCCGGTATTGTATGTCTTTCTGCCTGTTTCTTCCTGCAATGGTACCTCTTATGTTCAGTGGGAACAGCATCAAGCACATTGATGTCAGTCCACTCCATGATGCCTGCTTGGGTTTCACTGGTTTTCCATGCTCCCATCTGTATTTTTAATTCTGTTCTGTCTTATTGTAGGTGTAAATCTGTGTGTTCTCTGCTACTGTCAACATACAGAATGCTCACCACAGGGATCTCTTGTACCCTTTATGGTCACACCTATCTTACCCATGCCTCCTCTCCACCCCTAGCCCCAGCAGCCTCTGGCAGCCTTTGGTCGAAGAAATATATGTTATAGCGTGGATACTTCTTTTTCCAAAAAAAAAAAAATGATAATTTATTTTTATTTTATGTACATTGGTGTTTTGCCTGCAGGTATGTCTGTATGAGTTTGTTTGATCCCCTGGAACAGGAGTTACAGACAGTTGTAAGCTGTCATATGGGTGATGGGAATCAAACCCAGGTCCTCTGGAAGAGCAGCAATGCTCTTAACCACTACGCCATCTCTCCAGTACCCTTGTGACTATTTATTTCTTAATGTCTAGTTTTAGTAGTTGAAATGCATAGGCAGTAATGTCAGAATTTTCAGGTAAAGGGCAGGAAGTTGCACATAGAGGTCCAAGGCATAGTGGGGCATATCTGTAATCCCAGCACTTGGGACACTGAGGCAGGAAGACTGTATAGACCCAAGACCAGTCTGGGCTACATAGTAAGACTCAGTCTTAAAGCCAATAAAGAAAAGGAAGAGGCAGAGGTGAGCCACTGAAGGTTGTGGTACAGCCAGTGAGCAAAAAGCATACAGGACCAAAACAGGCTAGTAATTTTGGGGCAGAATCCCAGTGTGCCAGAGTCAGGCTGTCAGCTTTCAAGGGAGGGGTAGTGCCGTGAGCTGACTGTGTGTTCACCTTGGGACGCTAACATTTGCATTTTACATTACAGCTCTGATCTTGCAGTCTCTGTAAGTCATGCATCTGTCACCAAGTAGGTGTGAGCAAACTCTCACGCCACGACTCCACAGATTTTAGTTCCCAGCACCTCTTCAGTTTGACCATCCTGGTGGCTGTCAGAGTCAGGTCAGAGGGTCTTTGTACACAAGCACAAAGCAAAAGCACCCTCAGGAGCCACTTAAGTGGCTGTCTACTTCACACGGGTTTAGAGAAAGGCAAAGCCACTAGGAGGGACGGGATGCAGGAAACAGTGGACTGACTGGTGGGTACCGGAAGGATTCTGTTGGCCTACTATCTTGTAGGACATCTTTCACGATTGAAAAAGTTCAAAGAGAACATAGAAGGTGCGAGAATAAGAGAGTTAGAGCCTTCGGGGCCCAGTGCATGTAAGGGGTTGCAGGGTTCATAAAAACCAAAAGAGCTCTTTTCTTTAGAGTTTTAAGACATTGAATGTACCCATTCCTCACTTCCAAGGGTTTGCTGCGGGCCAGGTGCCGTTCCTGACAGCAAGTGCTGCAGTGAGCAACGCTAGCGAGGAACCTTTATAGAGGGTGTGGGTCCTGTGCAGTGAAGACCAGGGGGAGGGAGGGAGGGAGGAAGGGAGGGAGGAAGGCAGGCATGCAGGAGTCCTGAGGTAGGTGGAGCTGAGGCTGTCCTGTAGAGCATCTCCTGTGGATGAGGACTGGCAAGAAGGTCACAATGACTGGACTGTGGTGTACACCGAGACC